AGGAGAAAGATGAGGCTTTCTGCTCCCGTAAAGATTTACAGCCTCAGAAACCCTGTACAGGGTCGCTATGAGTCAGAACCGACTCCACGGCACATAACCAACCATCTGAAAAAGTCTGAATATAATTCTTGGTTATTGATAAAGAGGCAAGAAGATGAACTATGCAACTTACATGTTTTCAATCAATATACAAAATATCAAAACACTCGTCTGTTTCTTACAGGCCTATGCATTCTACAGCAAAGTTTTTATTCACACGTGTCACGAAGAATCAGTCAAGTACTTGTTTCTAATTGTTGTTGTTGTGAAGTGCCGTTGAGTTGATTCCAACCCATAGCGACCCTGTATAGGGTTTCCGACGAGCAGTTGGTGAGCTTGAACTGCTGATCTATCAGTTCAAATAGCTTTGCACTCTGGCGCATTAGTCCACAGCGCCACACCAGGACTCCTATTATTTAACTTCAAATATTATTTATGAAAATGAAGTTTACAAAAAACTTACCTTTCTTCTCTCAGAAAGTATGATTCTTTCAGATAGAAAAGGGTAAGAGGCAGAAGAGTTTCGAAAATCTAGGGCTCGTTGTAGTTGGTCCTACAAAGAAATATAAAACAATCTTGTAAAATGAGTTGAAAGTCAATACTGCATTTGTCAGATGACTATAATCCAGAATACTAATTACCTGTCATATGCTGGCCCACCTCAACAGTATATTAATATTAAAGAGAGTAGTTTTTGTGACATCTTCACTTACTCGGTAAGTGCTAATAACAAACTGAGTCCTTTGACGAATTCTTTCTGGTTGTTGTAAAGGATGGGCTAAAACAGGAGGTGCCTTTTCAAATATAAATTCAGAGCCACAGGGAGAAAGTTGCAATCTGGAACCATCAACATACTGTACTTGCACGGAATCATCTTCATAAAGTATCATTCGAACTTCAGCTGCCATTACTATGACTACAGAGACATCCCTCCAAGGCAGAAACGGAATGATCTAGGAAAAACAATAGCACAAACAATCCTCTTAATGTACAAGAGTTCTACCAAAATAAAGCACACCTAAAAACATGCTGACATTACATTTGTTGGAAGAAAAGTGGCATCTTATTACATATACTTAAAGGATATGAAATTAACATCCCAAATGACTTGACTAGCTCTATGACTTCAATGTGAGATCATCTACAGAAAGAAGATAGACACCATCAAGTTGCAATGGTCTTTATAATTTTAGTTTTACTGCTCCTGAAGTTCGATTTCTGTAACCATATGCTATATTAGAGCCCTGGTGTGGTGCTGCAGGTTAATACACTGGACTGCAAGGTCAGTTTGAACAACAGATTGGTGGTTCAAGCGCACCAGCCACTTCTCAGAAACTCAATACAGGGTCGCGACGAGTCAGAAACGACTCGATGGCATTTAACAACAAACAACTTGCTGTTGTTGTTAGGTGCTTTCCAGTCAGTTCCAACCCATAGCGATCATGTGCAGAACAGCATAAAATACTGCCCAGTCCTGTACCATCTTCACAATTGCTCCTATGTTTGAATTCATTGTTATAACCACTGTGTCAATCCATCTCACCGAGGGTCCTCTTCTTTGTAAGGTAAAACAAAAATGGCACCAACCATTCCTCCCATGGCACACACTATTTCTCAGCTGAGCTCAATAATCCATTGCAATGGCCACGTAGAACTCAGAAACCACACTCACAGTTATGGGGTTTATTAGGGAAATTAACTGGTTACAGTTCAGTATTAGAAATGCTCAGGGCACAGTTCTTCCAGTCAGGCCAGCCTCTTCTCAGCCATGCATAGAGACAGGCCTCTTTCTGGCCCTTGGCCTCTCAGCCCCAGACTGCTTGACCTCTGCCCTGCTCCAGCAGTATTACAAAGCTCTTTTAGCACTGTTGATAAATGCCCAAGGGGCAGTCTTCTGCACTATTAAGACTCAACCTGAAGGTACTCAGATCTATCTCCTAGATAAGCAAGCCTAGCTTCCCAATTAACTGCCTAGAGGTCCCTAACTCCCCAAGTGATCCTCCTGCCCCGAAGGCTCTCAGCCTTACTTGCTTCCTGGAAAGCCCACAGCTCTATCTGCTATTCTGACTCTTGGTTCTGAGTTTGCTGCTGCTCCTCTGTCACTCTTCCAGAGTCACAGCTTCCTCTCACTGGGTTGAGGAGGTTCAATTTGCAGGGATCTTAAGGTCCAAAGGCTGTGCTCCACTCGGCTCTCCTTCAATGGTAGTGAGATTCCCCCTCTGTTTCAGAGATGCCTCATTTTATATGCAAAATTAACAAATCACAATTAGTTCTATTAACAACCGCTTACAACTGAATCATAAAATTCATCAGCATCTTCTTCCACCTTCTCTTGCCCAGACCCACCAGAAAACTGTTGTTTGGTGGGAGTTACAAAGACTATGGCTAAAAAAGACATTAAACAATTCACTGCATCACACTTTTTTTTTTGCTGACCCTCTACTTTACCAAGCAATGCTCTTCTCCAGGAACTGGTCCTTTCTGGTAACATTTACAAAGTATACGAGACGAAAGTCTCACCATCTTCACTTCTAAGGAGCATTCTTCGAACACAGATTTGTTTGTACTTCTGGCAGTCCAAGGTATATTTAATATTCTTCCCCAATACAATTATTCAAAGCATAATTCTTCTCTAATTTTCCTTGTTTATTGTGCAGCTTTTGCCATACATATGAGGCAAATGAAAATACCTTGGCTTGAGTCAGTAATATTTAGAGAGAAGTGTGATGCTGTGATAAACACTGGACTGGGAACCACAAGGTCGGCAGTTCAAACCCACCAGCCACTCCTCAGAAACTCTATACAGGGTTGCTATGAGTTGGAATCGACTGGATGGTACTTAACAACAACAACAACAATTAGAAACCAGAACTCCTGGTGTAGCGCTATAGAACAAGCACTTGACTGCTAATCAAAAGGTTGGTGGTTCAAATCCACCATTTGCTCCTTAGAAACCGTATAGAGGGTAAGTATGAGTTGGAACCGACTCAACAACACATAACAACAACAATAACAAAAATCAGAAACCAGTGTTTCAATATTTAGTCTTTTTCTTCATGGCATTTGGAAATACAGACTTTTCTGTAGAGTGCAATAGTCAAAAAGGAAATCTCTTCATAAGGGAAAAGACACTGAAAAAGAAACGCAAATATCTGAATTCTAGTTCCCAATCTGGCATTAAGGAAGTAGTTCCATGACACCACTAAGCAAATTAATCTCCAAGTGTCTTAGATTCCTCATTTTGCCTCTCAAACGACTCTTATCCCAGCCATCAATCTCTCCAGAGAAGAAAGAAGCGGCTGTTTTCTCTCAGAAACCTGTATAGAGTCACTATGAGGAGGAATCAACTTAGAGGCAGTGGGCTTTGTATTTTTTTTCTTGGTTTATGCTCTTCATATAGGTGGGACAGAAGGGGACTTTGATGTTCAGGTCTCATCCATACTCCATCACTTACTAGCTATAAATCTTAGGGCTTTGGGTGGTTTTTTCCCCCTACTCACCATCTGCTCCTCGGAAACCCTATACAGGGTGGCTATGAGTTGGAACTGTCTCGATAGCACTTAACAACAATAACATTTATAAAAAGGGAATAGTTAACAGGATTATTGGACTTCTGGTGTGGCGCTATAGGATCAGCACTGGACTGCAAACCACAAAGTCGGCAGTTCAAACCCACCAGCTATTCCTCAGAAAACCTATATAGTCGGAACTGACTCAACAGTACTTAACAACAATAGGATTGTTGAGTGGACTAAAGGAGACAACTGAATGACAATATCTAGCATTGTGAATGCCATACTGTAGGAAGCACAATAAATCTTACAAAATGTTTCTATTTGAAACTATTTTTGATAAAGGAAATAAGTGTAAATTGCTACAATTTGATGAACTTGAATTATACTTATGGATGTAGTAGCTCAAAATACCAACTGAGTGGGAAGGAGTCTTCACATCAAGTATCGCTGCTATCCCCTCTGTATACAGGGTAGACAGGACAGGCAACTTAGACACTGGCTACCTAAAATGAGGGGTGATAAAAGCACGAAGTGACTCGCTTACAAGTTTTCAAGAGGGAGTTTAGTTTCAGAGTATGCTGGGGAAGATAGAGTCCCCATTGAATTGTTTTCATCTTGTCTAGATGGGTCTGGTGAAGAGATGGGAATAACATTCTTATGATTCGATAGTGAATAACTGTTATCATGACTAATTGCAATTGTCATAACTGTAAAAGTTTTGTAACAAAAAGGGGGGAGTAGTTAATCTTACAGTCCAGAAACAAAGGACCCTAGGACCATCAAGGGAGAAGAGCACGAGCCGAATGGGGGACCTTATCCAGAGAAGCAGCAACCCCAGAGATAGAGGCAGAGATGAGGACATGGAGAGAGGGAGCAGCTGAAGACTCTAGACTCATGGAAAGAGAAAGACTGAGTGCTGTGGCCAGGAGACAGGCTTGCAGAATGTGCCCTTTGGTTGTTTAAATTATTATATATTCTTGAGTGTTTTTGTGTACATTGCAACCCTCCCAACAACAACAACAAAAATCACAGAGGGAATCTAAGCAAATACTGTTGAATGATGATGAAGGGAGGAGACTATAATCATTGAAATGAAACAATGGTGTTAAAACCGATGTTCTCCCATGTAAACTATCACCCAATTCACAATTTAAATTAAAAAAAAAAAAAAGTTTCTATTCAAAATACCAATTTTCCCAGTTGATCTGTTTCCTATCAGTAATTTTCTCAAGTATAGTTCCTGCTAACTGCCTACTTTCTCATCATTCAATCCTTAATTTACTGCAATCTGGCTTAGGCCCCCACTTCTCCAACTGAAATTGTTTCAGTCACCAATGTCTTCCTAAACTTCCGTCTTTATCCTATGAAATCTGATCAATCTCAGACAGTGCTGTGTATCTTCTCCTGTACCAAACTTTCTCTTCCCTGCATTGTTTGTTTGTTTTTAGCATTGCATTATTATGGTTTTACTCCTTACTTTTTTCCTGTTTTTAATCATCCTCTTAAATCAAAGATTTTGTAAGACCTGACCTTAGTCCTCATTTAATCTCTTCTTGCTATATACTTACTCTTGCAACTTTTACACCCACCGTTGTATTTTTCCTGTCTTACACTGGACTGTGAAAAACAAGCTCAGCAGTTCAAGCCCACCAGCTGCTTTATGGAAGAAAGATGTGATTTTCTGCTCCCACAAAGACTTGAAAAGCCTCAGGAACCCTACACAGGGTCACTATGAATTGGAACCATCTCAATGACACTTAACAACAGCCAACCCTTTTTAATATATGTAATCTAGCTACATTTGATACCTTCTGTCAGTTTAACGTATTATGGTGGCTTACATGTTGTTACTACCAGCTGCTCCGCGGGAGAAAGATGAGGCATTCTACTCCCGTAAAGATTTACACCCTCGGAAACCCTGTGCAGGGTCGCTATGGGTCAGAACCGACTCGACAGCACATAACAACAACAACATGTTGTTATGATGCTAGAAGCTTCGTCACCAGTATTTTCAAATACCAGCAAGGTCAACCATGGTGGACAGGTTTCAGTGGAGATTCCAGACCAGTAAAGACTCTGCAGAAAGGACTGATGATCTACTTCTGAAAATTAGACAATAAAAATTATGAATCACAAGAAAACATTGTTTGGACTTGTCATCAAGAGGGATCAGTTGCTAGAGGAGGATGCCATGTTTGGTTAACTACAGAGCCAATGAGTGTGTGGGAGTCTCACTAGTACATGATGGACTCGAGCATGCTGCCATGTGAAGATGATGCATAGTTTGTCTACTGACACAATGTAGGAGTCAACTCAAGGGGAGATAACATTTGGAATAGCCTATAGTCCAGGTGTGGTGCTGTAGGATAAGCACTGTACCGCTAGCTGCAAGG